TCTATCTCTAAGTGACCTGCTTTAATTCAGGGGATCCGGTGTCAACGAGGGACAAAGCAGTGATGAGAAACCCTATCAGGGGCAGGGTTCATCAGAATAAAAAGGCGACACACTCCTTATTCCACAGTCTGCGGGGGTGACGGCCGGGCCAGGAGGATGGCTCTGATAAACAATCCTCTAGAGCGGGTCATGAAGTGCATTAAAAAAATAAATCAGGGTTATGATCTGACATCATGTCATGTCAGTTTGATAAACAGAAAAATAATCTGTCACTATTCTGATCACTGTAAACTGAATATCATGCATTTCAGGTAGCTGAAGATGCTGAGAAAACACTAATCCAGCCACTGTTTTCTGACAAAACTAATAATAGATTCAGAAAAGTCATATTCTGCAGATGAATCAGGAATTAATCTTTATTTGTAGCTCTAGTTTCAAGCCTGCTTCCTACAAGATGTGACGCAAAATAAAAACCTTCAAGAATATAATAAACTCATCCGACAAAGAAGCACCAGGACTACAGTTTTATATTTTCGTAAAAACTCTAAACATTTGGCTTCGGTGAGCGGATGAACGCCTGAATTTCATCCGTGCAGTTCTTATGCATTTATCATTGGAGGAGTCTGACAACACCGTAAGATATAAAAAGAAAGCCTCAGTGACGAAAGTGGACTTCAGCGATGAGTCAGATTGTGCAAAAGCAACAAACATGAAAGCACACTGCTGCTACGGTCGAGGGGTGTTTCACGTCTTAAAGGGATACAGTGCATCTGCTGAGAGGATCCGCTTGCGTCAGTGTTTATGCAACGATGTGCATCGATATCCGAACTTAGAAAAAGAAGAAGGTCTTTTGAACTGACACACCGAGTGTGCAGTCCACTCCTCGCAGCTTGAAATGATGATTTAGACACACTGCTCGATCCAGTTTCTGATGTTCAAAGATTTTCAGTGCTCTTATCTTGAGTGTTTTTTGGCTTAACAACCTGCGGGGAGAGCTATTGCTAATTAATGAGAATATCTGCGAGAGGGGGCCTTTTTAAGTCTGGGGATCAAAGCATTAAGCAGGGCTGTGTTGGGACTCCAGCATTGACGAGTTCAGTCAATCCACTCTGCAGTGTGCAGCACTGCACATACAAGACAGGAGTTTTTAAAATGAAGGTGGCCTGTATTATTACTGTGCCTCAACCTGCTCCGTATAGATCATTTAAATCCACCCTCCCTCACACATATTATGCAAAAATGAGCCATTATTTCATTTAAACTTCTCTAATGGACTTCCCTAATTCCCCATATTCGTGTTATCTGCTCTGGTTTGCCTCCATGTTCATCTATTTTCCTCAACAAACCATCCCTACTGTATTTATAAATAGATCCTGAATGAATCCTGAGCCCAGGTAGCTTTGGAGTGAGACGTATCCTCCTGTGCAGCGTGTCCACATCTAAGGGATTTAGTCATTCCTGCTCCACTGGTTCGTCTGCTAATGGCAAAGAGATCCAAACTGCATTAAAAAGTTTAATCAACAGTAAGTAGAAAAGTGTCCCATAGGAAGCCGGTGAGGGAGGTCCGAGGGGCTTTGAAACACGCTAATCCTTCCACGCAGGAAGGGAGGGGTGTGAATCGGTCCACTGCTGCATGGATGTGTCCTTGTAGGGCCGAGCTGAAAGCCGTGGGGCTTTCCAGGAAGAAGATTTGATAGGGTTAACATACGTGGACGTCAGACGAAGTACAGTATGTGGCCTTATAGTGACCCAGGGCTGGGTGCTTCTGCTCTTCCCAACAAACAGGAATGGAGCACCTTTCTCGGATGGTTTAGCCGTGCTGGCCAAGAACATCACAAGGCAGAGTATGTTCCCTAATAAATCACTTCTGCTGAGTCCACACAATCACCCAAATAACATTTATTTAATGGCCCGCAGATGAACACAGTGTTCGGTTGCTTGGAGCCCCACGTCGTCACCCCACAAAAACACAGCAACCACTACAACTTATGTAATACACCCAGTTGTTGGGCTAGCGAAGAAAATAAAACGTGTCCAAGACGTGATAAACAATTTAAAAAATGGCAAATAATATATTCACCAGAAATGAATTGCTGTGTTCATACCTTGATCAGCAGTGGAAAGGTGCATTTTCTCTCCTTCAACAGCTTTTCCAGCTTGTTTTTGGATCCAATTCTGTCCAAAGGAAAAAAAATATCAGAGTTTAATTTAAGTGCACAGCATGTGCATGGAAACTATTAGTCAAAGATGCCAATACCCATTGATTCAGGGTTCAAAAATAAATCTCTAGCACAAAGGAACTAATGCTGCCCTTACTGCCCTTGACTCAGGGAAACGGGATGCATATCAAAACCACATTCATTTAGATGACATGGATTTCTGAGCTGTTTTCTCTTATAGACAGTTACAGCTGCGGGACGAGGAGGCTTCCTCTGGAGCAGCCTTTTGCACAAACTACACTGACACCTTCTGGGCACATGTTTACTCTATATTTAACACGTCTAGGACATCTTCAGGAGCTTTCTGGTGCTAAACTTTCAATAGGAAAAAATGCTTTATTCAGCAAATATGTGCGGTAATGACTGCAAGAGGAAGATGCTTTTAATTCTGAAAACGACTGGATAGACATTTTATAGATTTACTATCAAAGAAATTATGGAAATATTGTGCGTAAAATGGAATAAAATGCATTTTTCTGCCCACAAACGTCTAAGAGAGTATCACACTGACCTTTTCTCTGAAGACTTGTTCGGTGCGCTCATGGTGAAACAATCAACAAGGTGGCAGTGATGAAGCGCTCACGCGTGACATGCCCAAAAGTTACTGTTTGGGCTCCAAGCCGGTAAATTACGCACGGCGGACAGCCTCTGCGCAGCTGAGCGTCCCCACCGCCGGTTAATCCAAAACGCAAATGGCTCACTGGCGGTTTGATTCTCCCTTTTTTTTCTTTTTTTTTCTGACGCAGCTTTCAGGCAGGTGCTTTGGGGCGTGCACGCGCGCGCGCGACAGAGAGCACGAGACAAAGGGAGCTGGACACCCACTGGGCTATACATTTTCCTCCTACTGTAGCTCTCAGTAAATGGCACACAGTCAGCAGCTCTGCCTAAACACACCACCCAACCTGTGACTGTACAAATTCTACATCAGGATTTCAAACTACACCAATATTCTTACAAACATATGTTATAATATGCTTTCTGAAAACGTTGGTTATTTATTTTTTCCAAAACATTACTGCAAATGTTAATGTGACTTACATATTCAGTTTGTTTTGTAATGAAACAATAAAATTGACCTAAATAAGTAGCTAAGAGGTATGAAAACGTAATGAAAAGATGGTGGAGAGAATAAAAAGATGAAGACAAGTTAGGAAAAGCCCTCCGTCAGACACCTGTAATTGATAGGTCACGGCATGAAATATTAATGTGGGATTTGTCTCTGTATTGTGAAATAATACTCTGCTTTATCCCCCAAAAGTCCAAACAGAGCTCCACTAATGGCCCAGAGGACGCTACTGTACTGAAAGCCAACACCTGCCTCCCTGTACAGACACGCAGACACTTGATTATCCTGTCAGAATGCTCGGGCCACAGTCAAGCTTTCACCATACAGACCAAACTTAAAACATTAAAATCGAGTATTTATCTTGTATTGTGCAGGCAGTAATAGTAGTAGCTGGTTAAAGGTAAACATAACAGTAGCAGCAGTACATTGTGAGACACAAGCAGCCCATCAAGAACAACATTCATCACCTCACTCCAAACTCCTTGTGCTTTACTGCTCTGTATTGATGTGCATTGGACAGCCACAGCTTTAAAAACCACCCTCTAAATACTGTATAGATCTCCGATGTGCTGCCAAAACAGCTCCAACATACGGGACCTTATGGGATGTCCTGTGGTGTCTGGCACCGAGGTGTTGGGTCTTATGGGTTCTAGGGTGGGTCCTACCAATTGATGGCTGGATCAACACCTTGGGCTCTTTATCATGCTCCTCGACCCATATCTGAGCAGTTCTTGCGGTGTGGCGGGGCGGGGATTACAGCAAAACGCAGCCACCGACTACTTTCAGTTACCCGGTACTAAGTTACAGGTCAAATATGGTCTAACTGTTTGTTCTTTAGTTCATACTTACCTTTCTTTGCTCCTTTGTTCTGACCCATCCTGCAGGACTTGTGTTTGGGAGAAGGCCGGCCGGCACTTCCTGGATTTTTGGCACCACAGAGTGACATCACTGGGCCGGACCAAGTGGAGGGGTTTTGTTTTTTTTTTGTTTTTTTTGATGAATGTTTCTTTTCTTTTAAAAGGATTCAGGAGTGACTTCAAATGTTATCCTCTAAAGGAGACATTTATAAATGCCAACCAGTTTGTAGTGTGTACAGGGATGTTGTTTGCAGTTCTGTTTGCATCGAGGTCATAGAATAGGTCACGGTGCCGTATGATGGTAGGGCTGAAGTGGTACAGGTGTGAACTGAGCACCATATATAAAAGGTAGAGCAGTGAGGCTGATACAATAAGTCTTTCTTGACCATTTTGGGCCAGATTACTTTACAAACCAAAACTCCTTTTACCTCTACTTGAGTTTATATTTGTTGTGCCTTACACTGGGTTGTTAAGTCTACTCAGAGTCATTCATGCAAATCCTTTCTTTGTGCTGATTTCCAGACAATGATATACGAGTAAACCATTTTTGATTTTGCTGAGGATATCCTACAAAGATTCCTCAAAGCGTCTGGGCCTTATTGTAAAAACTAACTGATGTCACTACTTGTAAATTAAATACTGAAGTCTGGTTGATGCTGTGTAGCACGAGTCTAATGTCATAGAATCACGAGGAAGCAGGACATGAACACAAATACAAAGAACTATGCTATTTTGATCTTCTGCATCATTTTTAAATACTGCTAAGTCTGAGCTAGTAAGACTGTGTGCACATCATACTGCTGCAGCATCGTGCTTGGCTTGGCTCGAGTACTGAGAAGAAGAAGAAGAAGACACAACTCCAATAATGTGGTTTATTTAGAATAAACAAGGCAGCACCAGTAGGATAGTAACATTCACACATCACTTTAGTTTTGCACAGAGAATGCTTTTGTTTCACACCTTCAGCTTATCACGTGACCAGCTTATTCTCCTGTTATCGTTATAGGCAGCATTTAAGCGGAGCACCGTTTAACAGAGGCAGTTTAACCTGAACAGTTCACTGAAGCACGGAAAGTTTGTGAATAAAGCCGACGATGGGTTTAAAAATATCTGCACTGTGCAAAATTCCTGTTTCGTTGTCACGTTTGTACTGCATCAGGGACTATTACTGACCATTACTGTGTTTGTCGGAACCTAACACACACAAAAAAACACATGAAAATGATGAAATGATCACATCGAGCTGGTAAATATTTGTTGTATGACTTCCACAATTAAAGACATCACTGCAGCAAATCTGTTTCCACAAATTAAATCCAGATACGATCTATGCAGAGTTTAATTTTAAAGGAATATTCAACTTAAAATTAGTAAAACTTGCCTTCTGTAGGCTTATTTAAACTTTTAAAGCTTTCTTCCTCCGCAGATGAAGTATCTCAAATTAGCATCTGAAATAAACTAATCTGTCTCATTTTACTATTGCTTTTCATAGCAATAAAGTCACAGTCACCATCTGTTGGATGAAACAACTCTACAGCTGTGCTAAATCCTACAAAACTGTCCCGGTTCACACACTCACATGGCATCGATTACTTTAATTGGAGTTATCAGGTCAAATATTAAATCACATTTGGATTTGATCTAATGATGCACCGACTACACCTGAACTTTGTTCGTCTTTGCCTGTAAAACTTTCCAGATTTCAGAAAGAAAAGAATTTTGAGCGCAGCCCTTCTGAGACTCAGTACGAGGGCCACATGGTCCTGATTTTCCCTGCTGACCGGCCTTAAGGTTAGAGAGCATGTCTGTGTGTGAGAATAAGAATGAGCTGTAGGGAGGGAGAGGCCTGCAAAGAAATGAAAAATGGCACAGGCTCCTTATTTCCTTTGAGATTTTTTGACAAACAGCTTTGGTGCACACCCTGCTCTCTCTTCCCCTTGCTTCAGCATCAACACCCTTTGTGCTTCCTTTTGCAGACAGGCAGACAAATAAAACACGTATTTCTTTGGCTGTGCGCTGTAGGTGCATCAGACTTGTCTCCCAGATGTGTGACTGAAGAAAAGACCGCAAGACGGGGCTTTGCAAAGAGGAGGTAGCAGCTGTAGGTGTAGTTAAAAAGGTCAAATGTGATCCTGGATAAGGTGTGAGCAGCTCAGACAGGACTGGGCTGATGTCTGAGGTTGTGTTATGGTCGTAGATAAGGCTGAGGTCTGTTGATCTGAGAGCAGACATAATAAAAAACAACATCAGGCTTGAGCTAAAGGACGATATCGATGAAAGAGATATCGTAGTTCAAAGTGGCTGGAAACATACTTCATCCCAGGTGCTTGTGATGATGTTTTTCGTAGCCTACTGCATTGTTGGAACCAGTACCTAGCCGGAAAAATAAAAAACATCGTGATGCCAGGAAGATTATTTTAAATTCATATTCAACAGTAGTACAGGCTTCTAGCTGTCCACTTACTCTACTTACCCAAGTAGTCCTTGTAGTCCTTGAAGTATTTGTGCCTCAAGCCTCGTCCATCTGTGGATGAAATGACCAAAATGTAGTGACGAAACAAAAAGATGATATCTGATCTCCTTGTTATGCTCGCTGCACTTTGCATGCTTGTTTAAAAGCCAATTAGATCCGACATTTGAAAACTAAAAACTTAAAGTTTTCGTCATAAAATCATCATGATAATGAAGAGATATGAGCACCAGTGTGTAGCTGTTACCAAAGGTGTCCCACAAGGCTCCGTCCTGGGGCCTGTTCTGTTCGCTTTTTATATGGATGATATGGTTTCTTCTGTAACTGGATATGAAGTTCATCTTTATGCAGATGATACCATTTTTTAATGTATTTTTTACTGTGTCGACGCTGTACGTTCATCTGTTTAATCCCTTCAGTACTGCTTTGCTGATTCACAAACACATAAATAACCATAAATTATGTCTTGATGGAGATTAAACTGAGTACACGATGTTTGCCAAGATGCCAATTATGATACTTTTTCATCTCTACTCTGAACGCGCACAAATATTGAAAGATTTATGGGGGCCAAGCAAATTAAGACAAAAAATGTGTTTCTTTTATGGAATAAATTAGTAATCAGTGGGGGATTACATTAACATTTTATATATGCATATTTGGGCTGATAGTTGTAACACTCATGAGCTCTAAAGTTGGGTGGCCCTCCCTGTCTCTAGGGGATGACAGAGACTGGGTGTTGTTTATTTATAATGCCTTTACTGGTATTTTACTGCCTTACATTACTTCATTGCTGTCTTCTAATGAGGGCTCTTACCAAACACAGTCATTACTGGATCACGTTGTACATGCAGGTGTTTCTACTGAACTCGGAGAACACGGTTTTAATCACTGTGCATCTGCAACCTGCAATTACACACAGTCTGAAGCCGACAACAGACAGCAGTCTACGGCTGGACTCATTTAGTCAATTTAGGTTTTTAACGTCGTCTTATTCTACCTCCTGCTGTTTAGTTGATCCATTTGCTTTGTGTTTTTATTGCTCTATGTAATCTTAATGTTTTTAATCATTTTTTATCCATCGTTGTTTATTTTCTTATTCATACATTCTGAGTATAAATAAGGGATAAATAAAGGACAAATGAATGAGTAAGAGCTCAAACTTTTGGGAGCAGTTCTATTAGCTCAGATTCACAGCAGGTTAACTGTTGGAATTAACTCAAGATAGGAGACGATTTGTGGCCATGTGGGTAATAACTCATCTACAAGTCATGAAAAACCTTGTAGCCGTACCAGAGTTGCCACGTTGCTTGATGCACTGTCCCCGGTTAGGGATGCCAGCGGCGGGGTTTCCTGGGTTGATGATGTGACATTCGTAGCCTGTAGGGCAGTGAAGAGGCTCGTCTCCGTCCTCGGTTGTGCTGCAGGCCTCAGCTTGTACATGAAAGATAAGCATTAGATGACACCATAAACACCAGGAGCCTACTTCATCTGGTGGCTTCTGTGTGAAAAACCTCCTCAAAGCTTTAATATTCACAGAGGGAAAGAAGAACTGGCTGATCAGGAGAAAATAGGCCTAAATACACATGGAGGCATTGCATTTAAGGTTGTCTCTCTAATGGTTTTCTGACACATATTTCCATTTATATTTGATCCTAAACTACAGGAAGGTAACTAAACTTGATTTTTACTAATGGTTTTACAATATGAGTGATTTTTTTTTCATTGCATTGTAAACACAGAAACACCACAAATGTCCTAAAATGCCCCCAAGTGAGTGGAAGCTGGTGAGATGTCAGCAAATGTGCTCACTGAAACCTGTTTTGCTCATATTCAATGAGCAAAGTTTGGACTGCATTAGCATTTAAAGGATTTGTGGAGGCTTATTTCGTGAAGGCTAAGCTGCAGCGGGATCACCGAGAGTTTCAGTCTTGCACGCTGATTATCCAGAGTTACAAGTGTTTGTTCCCGCTGAGCTTACCAACAAGTCAGGTGTGTGCTCACCTTGCAGGACCTCCTCAGGACCGTCCAACAGCCAGCCGTTGCCTCCCAACCACCGAGGCTTGGGCTGCACCAGCCAGTCCAGCACTGCCAAGAACACACAAACGCACACTTAGTGACTGCAACAAAGACGGAAACTCATTAATTTCCAAGCTTTTTTAGTTCATAATAATATAAGTATACAGTATATATGTAGACAGTATAAGTTAAAAACCCAAAATCTTAAGCCCTGTGCCAATCTCCAGACCCGAACCCCGTCTGTTGGTTCTGCTGACCTGGTGGCGGCTGAACAGACTCCAAGCAGGCGTAGATGCAGCCGTTGTAGCAGCAGCGTTTGTGGCGCTCGCACTCCGAGTCTGAGCGACAGCCCGGCACCTCGCAGGCTCGCTCCGGCAGCATCTGGGGCGGAGGTGGACACCGGTCGTTCTTTTGGTGCTGTGTGGACTGGGGGTGGTTCGGGTACTCGTAGTCCTGAAAGACAGAGAAAGTCCAAACTATGAGTGACACGTGGTTTGTTCCTGGCCTTCCTTCGCTGTGACTTTAAATAGCATCAGTAGAAGTTCTAGGTCTATCAAAAGCTGGTAGAATGAATTAAAAACCCTCCAAACACGAGACACACGAGCTTTCAGTTAGTCACTTTAACAAGATTGCATAATTAAACATGTTATTTTTCCAGTTGGCTTAACCAAACCTGAGAAACTACTGTGTGTGCAGGCCAGGCCTTCATCGGTGCCAGATGAGATTCAGATATCAAAAAAACACACGCTAGCAGAAAAACAGTCGTGTTGCATAACTCCACAGGAATGTGTAAACGCTAGAGAACACATTTAATCTCTGTGTTTGTTTCATACGATGTTCATAAATCCTGAACACACACACCGTCTATGAACCTGGGATTCCTTTACAACATGCTCATCCATCTAGTAGATGTACGACGCTGGATAAGTTTGATGGCCTAAAAATGCACTGCCACTGATTTAAAGTCCGTATCCTCTCTGTGTATCCAAGTTAAATATTTAGATTTTCTTTTTCGTAACTCGACATCATTGCTTCCTCTGGAATTTACTATCGTATAAAGTCCCTGCCCCTCTTGTCTCTCATAATGCCATATGGACACGTTAACAAGGTAGAAAAAAAACTTGATTTAGCTCGAGCGGGTCTTTAGGAAGAAATGCTAAAACACAATAAACACTGAAATATGTTGCAAAGAAAAAATGAAAGTAGCAGCGACAGCAAAAGTAAGCGGTCAAATTGTTAAAAAGTTTTTGTGTTTTGTTGATTTGCATGCAGTTTGTGCATATTGCAGTAGACTCAGCTCTAAGCCTGACTGTAGATGAGTGATGCATTTTTACACAGATGAACTTTAACTTCCAGACCAGGTGAAGAGATACTGTGAACATCTGTAGGTGAGACTACAGCATGAAGATGAAAGAAGTCTCTGCACTGACTGATCCTACTTTCTGTTAATAGAAGTACCCATGCAGGTTTTCAACCACCAGAGGGCAGTAATGAATCTGAACGAGAAACTCCTCAGCACGGTGGAGAAGTTTGGTTTTATTACGCATGCCTGATTGCTAACGTCTTGACTCGGACTGGGAAGGTGATTCACTGTGGGAACAAACACTTCCCTGGTGAGGCTGAGAGCGAGAAAGTAGGCCACAGGTCCCTGAGCCAAGCAAAGGAGCACTTCAGCCGCTCCGGTAACACAAACTGAGGGCCTGCATGCACTCTTTTCCTCAAGATCTGCTCCTGCATGCTTTGCGCTGGATATCACAGTTATTTCATCACTTTTACTGAGCTGCAGCCTTTTTTTTCTAATTGATTCTTCCTCTTAGGTTTCATGTGGAAGGACTTGTTTTGCTATTTTACACCACTGGTATCGAATAACACATGATTTGTGCCGCAGCATAAGTGGCAATTTATTGTTGTGGGTTTTGTCCACATGGGGATTATTACAACAAAACCCCGAGAAGCGCAGCTGCCTTTGACTAAACATTAACTCTGATATTTTCTCATACGAGCCGCAGTGCGATCAGATTTCAAGCTCGCTCCACGCTTTCCTTTTGAACGCCATAAAGGGAACAGCACTGTGTTGTTTTATGGATTTCACTTGTACATCAGAAGAACATTTTGAGGATTTGTTAATTATAGGCCCCGGCTAAGGTGCTGTTAGGTGTGTTTCTTTGAGCTCCTTTACATTCTAACTTAGCTTAACAGTCACAAAAAGTTTTTAATCCACTATTTTTTTCGGTTTGTTTATCTGTCATCAGGCTGTGACGATTGAGCACAATCACAGAATCTGTTGTTTTCTGACTTTAATATTCCGTCGTGTGGGTGAGTTTCTCCGTTGACATTTCGTGGTGCCCCAGAAAGAGCAAGCGAGAGAGAAATTGGTGTTTTTACACGACACTAGATCTGTAATTAGATAATCGTTTTGTGGGTTGCACACGATCATTAAAACTGTGCTGTTTATTTGGCAGGCTTACCGACCGCTCCCCCAAACCGCCCCGGAAAAACAAAAGCAAATGTTTGGCGCTGACGGTGGCATCGCACACACACTGCATGCGCGTTCGCTTCAAACACACATTAATTCATTCTGGCATCTGCTGGCTCGGTGGGTGGATGGTTATTTGGGAGTGGGGGTGAGGCTGGGAGTGGATTTACACCATGGAATGATGGAGGGAAACAATGAGGGGCTCAGTTGCAGCTTGTAAAAGTTAATTTGCGATCGTGCACATTAGCCTAAATTGCTTTGAGATGAGAGTTGCAGGGCGGTATGTGTGTGGAGTGGCATTTATTATCACTGCTCATCACTTGCAGGGCTGGATGTGGTACTTCAGAACTTTTGGGGTATTTTTTTTGTACCAAAATGCATCTGTAGCTCTGAATACTGCATTGTTTTAACAAGTTGGCGCCGAACACTTGTTTATGAATTCCTTCGCTAAGACTTTCTTCTTTAATGTTGTTCTAATCAACTCGTGAAATGGTTTCAATCACACAGATTTGTTGCTCAACTCTGCAGTTCCTCTCATCTCTACTCCACTTTTTTTTTTTTGCATCTTTAGCTGATTTCAGCTTCAACAAATGACCAACTAGCAGGTGAACATAGTGAAGCATTTAGACGCTAAAGACCAAGTGGAGACCGACAGAGAGATGAAAGCAGCGTTACATTTGGCATCAGGTGGACAGAAACACGACTAAATGACTGTTTGCTTGATGTAACAATAGAACACTTTCAAGGGATTTTTTTCAACTTTACAAACACTGCAGCTTTTATTTTCCAGCGGTGAACACAAACCCGTCTGTGGCCTCATACAGTGGTGCCTCTAGAAATTATTCATAAGGGTAAAAATCTCAGGGAGTCACACAAAAACCAGTTGTGATGGAGACACTCATTTGGATTCTGCTGCCGGCTGATGCTGCAGGTATTTAATAAACTCCTACAAACAGCTGGAACTTCAGCTCCTGTTAACATTCTGGTCAAAACTTGGATTCCATTCATTATTGGTGAGTCTCATTGATCTGATCTGTTACAGAGTCTGTCTACGTTGTGGTAAAGTCTTATTTTTACTGACATGTCTATTTGTGAAGGAGACAAAACTCAACCCTCATCATGAGATGTTCTGGCGTGGTATGTGTGCATCAACTGAGTGCACAAAATTAGCCTTTTAGGACTTTTAGGATCGACCACACAGTCAACTGGCTGCAGCTATAAGCTTTTACAGTCACCTAATGCTGCTTTCACTTTCACTCAGACTCTGTCATTGCATTTTACTGAAACTTGAACTGTGGAGTTTCAGTAAAAAAACATTTCCTCTATCAGATCTTTAGTGGCCACAGGATGAGATTTAAGAGTTGGTGGTGACTGCAACGTGAAAAATCCCTTTGCTGCCAAATAATAGGAATGAGTGGAGTCTGAGAGGCCTTGGGTAAAAAGGTGAAGGAGCGGATCTTGTTTGCTGAGTGTGCGTATCTCTGGTATGCCGTGTTGACCAAAGTCAGCGACTGTTTGCAACAAGTTCGGCTCTACCAGTCAGTGTAATACGTCAATGTTGAAGTTAAAATTTGCTCTGCTTTGTCCAAGTGGCCAAAAATAATCAAGTTCCTTTCTGGATGTTATATCTTCAAAGAGTACACAATGATTTCCAACAGTTCATTCAAAGTTCACTTCATGAAGTCCTGATGTGTGAAACCAGAAGACGTCTCCTTAAAGACAAAACCGAACACCAGAGAAGCATCAGAACTGCTTGTCCTCTATTTCTGCAAAACTTTCACACAGAGCGGTTCAGCACATGTCCTGCTACAATTAGGCCCATGAATGAGCGCTACAAGGTCGGCCCTGATTGGATAATTACATAACGACTGCTCCCGTCTGCCCTTGTCTCACATCCGATCAGTTCCCCGTGTCTCCTGCAGAGCTCTCCTACGAAAGGTCAAGCGTGTCCTTCCTGTTTGTGAGAGTAGCTGTAAACACTACACTGCAGTAAACTCATTCATTCTTTATATGTGTGCTACTGATCCTGATTCTGCTTTAAGTCATTACTCTGTCTTTACCTTTTCCTGTAGCTGCTTCACTCTCGGGGCTCATCTCATGTCTCTGCTCTCGTGCTGCTTGATGCCAGACGGGCTCTGAGCTCTATCACGTCATCTCTCTGATGTTCCACGTTGTTTGTTTACACTCCTGTCTGCTCTCCCGTAGAGACGCTGCCAACAGGCTTGTGTGTGATGTTCATATCTATCTGTGGGCATATATATTCCCCTCTCTCTTTATCTATTCACCCCCGTCTGTAACACTCTGTCGCCCTTCCTCCTTGACTTCTTCCTCCCCAGTTCGTCCCCTCTTGTTGGCGATGAAGATCAGCAGAATGATGCTGGCTGTAACGTTTGATCTCAGCGGCTCATTTTGTGTTTCCTGACTCTTTTTTAAATTCTCTTGCTCTGTGGTTTATGTGGAGAAGCCGCTGGAGACACCGTCTGGCTCCATGACTGAACCGAGATCAGACCGTTTCTGGTTCCATGCAGAGATTTCAGACAGATACTAAGATTTTCTGCTTCCTTTGTGCAGGAACACATGCAGGCTCACAAGAAACAGACCCAACCTCTCAGACAAAGAGTGTGGCCGCATAAACAAGGAAATGCTGCGTTCTTTCACCTTAAGTGTCAACTTAAACCTGCCAGATCACAACATGAAACTGTCCATGGCCCACATCTGGTTAGCTTTTGGGTTGTCAGGACTAATTTCCTGTCTGTAGACTCGTATTCAGTTGGACAGAAAGATAGACAGACACGCAGATAGATCGGGACACAGCGGGCTAAGCTGGCAGGCTGTAAATCAGTCAGGGATGAGAATAGTAATGAATGATGGAAAGGCAAACAGGTAGATACACAGCTGTGAGAAGCAGTCCTTGAACATGCCGGCAGAGAGGCGATGTCCAACCTTGAAACGCAGACGAACAGACTGAACCCACATG